GGTCCAAAGGACATGCTCTGCTCCCACTCTTCTTTCTTGATGGTAGTAGATCCCATTCTCTTTGGTTACTTCTCTCTTCTTTTATCTCTTGTAAGATAAAAGGTGATGCAGGCCCCAGATAAACTTCTTATACATTAGATCATAACTGTGACTGGAATAAGATTGTTGCATCCCATCCTAATCCTTTTAAATTAGATCAGAGCTCACATCAGATCACATCATGGGAGATGATTACATCATTACATAACTGCCACATTATATCATTAAAAAAAAAAAAAAACAAACTCACTGCCATGGAGTCGACTCCTACTCATAGCGATCGCCACTGGGTTTCCAAGGCAGTAAATCTTTACAGAAGTAGATTGCCCCATCTTCCTTCCACAGAGTGGCTGGTGAGTTTGAACCACCAGCCTTCTGGTTAGCAGTCAGATGCTTTAGGCACTACACCACCAGAGGTCCTTTACATTACATCATAGAGGTGAGGATTTACAACAAATAAGAATAATTACATAATACTGAGAATTATGGTCCAGCCAAGTTGACACATATTTGGGGGTGGTGGTGGATATAATTCAATTATGACAGGGGCCAAAGGGTGGAATGTTATAGATTGATTTGTGTTCCCTCCAAAATATGTGTGGTAAATCCTAACCTCTATGCCCGTGGTTATAATTCCATTTAGGAGTAGGTTTTCTTTGTTATGTTATTGAGACAGGATTGGTGTAAGGTGTTTTTGAGTCAATTTCTTTTGAGATATAAGAGTTTAAATAAGAAAGCCAGAGAAGCAGAGTTAGGGGAAGAGAGGTGCCAAACCACATGAAGACTGCTCAGCAGCAAAAACTCAGACATGACAAGGACTTTCCTCCAGACCCCACAGAGAGACAAAGACTTCCTCTAGAGACAGGACCCTGAATTCAGACTTCTAGCCTCCTAACTGTAAGACAATAAATTTCTGTTTGTTAAGGCCATCTACTTTTGTTATTTCTGTTATAGCACTACTACATAGATAAGAAAACATGTATTAATGAGTCCCTGGGTGGTGTCAATGGTTTCTACACTTGGCTGGTAATCAAAAGGTTGGAGTTTTGAGTCCACAGAGAGGCACCATGGAAGAAAGGCCTGGAGATTACTTCTGAAAAATCAGCCATTGAAAATCCTCTGGAACACAGTTGTACTTTGATACACATGGGATTGCCATGAGTCACAATTGACTTGATGGCAACTGGTTACTGGTTAACATGTATTAAGCTTACAGCAGGCACTTTCACATAGACTACTTCCCTAAATCCTCACAACCTCCCTCTACGGTATTATTATACCTAGTTTGTGAGGAAAGAAGGCTCAAAGACATTGCGTAACTTACCCAACTTTGCACTATCAACACATGGTAGTATTACAAATATATGATTCACGAGGGTAGGATTTTATCTTATTTATCATTGTGACCACAATAGCTGGCATGTGAATAGTGGGATAGTATTTGACATCAGCTCTTCTTGTCCAAACATTTCCATGACACTTCTCTGCTATTTCTGCTGTTATGTCAACACATGGGAGCGAGCATGCTCTCAGAGGTTGAGTATCTACTATCATGTATTCCTGTTCAAGTCATAAGTAGGCCCTATCCCACTGTGTGTATATATGGCTTCATCACTTGAATTAACTAACTGAACTTTCAAAACCCATACTCTGATTCATTTGAATGTCATGTAACAAAAACAACAACAAAAAACACATACAGGTAAATGAATAACAATGCTGCTAATCTATGCCACTAGGTCAATTCTCAAATGCAAAGAAATTCTTAGCAAAGGGACTGTGCCCCAGTCTCTTTGCTGGAACTATGCAGTTTACTTGAGGTATCTTCTTACCACCTCTTTGGAAAAATAGCCAAATATCATAGCTGTCTTCATATTCCTTGTCACCCATCCTCTTCACCCCTTCCTGGGGAACAGGACTAAGCACACAATTGGAATATTAGAGATTAAAATAACAATAAAAACTTTGCCACCGAATTGTTTGGGATTTCTGGGACTTTCTCCCTGCAGGCGGGAAGATGAACCAATAATTGTTCCTAGGATTTTTATTCAGTGAAAGCAGAATCCAGGTCCTATTTTAACAGAGTAATTGTGTTGTTTAGACTTGGCCTGTGCAGCAACACTGGGAAGTGATTCCCAGGAAGGTGACACCTGCCAGACATTCTTCGATGCTCACCGGCGGGTCTCATCCATCACTTGAGCTTTGGAGCTCAGTTTTCTCCTGAGGGATTTTTAGGCCAATTCTCATTCTCTGCATACAAGTCTTCACACTGAAACCCTTGTCTCCTGGCCTTGAAACTTTAGGGAAGTATGGAGAAAGGGACAGATTGGAGAGATAAATGAAAAAAGAAGGGAGGAAGAATGTTTCAATAAGAAAACAGACTACTCTCTGAGGCCTGTTTTCCTTTTCATCAGGAAATGAAAATCGAGGCAATTAATTAGTGGGGGGATAATTTTCTTTCAGTTTTCTGATTTTTTTTTCCCAGATGTGTTTGTTCCACATGAATTATTCAGATAAATCCTGAACTGGCCTATGTCCTTCGTCTATATGGACCTAAGTTATTATTCTCATTATCGAATTTATAAAGTTGTAGGCATGGATTCCATTTGTCCTGGGCAGTAGTACACAGCTAGGTCCTGAATCCAGGTCTCCTCACCCAAGTCCTAGCCTGGAAGCTGCACTCCAGTTGCTGCTGGTGCTGGCCTCTCAATACGCCCTCCTGTGGAGAAGAAGTTCCATCTCAATTAAAGGCAATTGATAGGATTAAGCATCCAGAAACTGAGTCTGTCTTTGCATTGCTATGACAGCTGCTTTACCCTCTCAAAGCTGGCATGCTAGTCTGGAGTTCAAACAGAATGGCTATTATGGCCATGTTCCTACTGTCCAGAAGAGGAAGTCAGAGAATTACAGAACCTTAGAGCCAGAACTGGAGCTCTGGTAGCGTAGTGCCTAAGGCACTTGACTGCTAACCAGAAGGCTGGCGGTTCAAACCCACCAGCCACTCCTTGGAAGGAAGGTTGGGCAATCTACTTCCGTAGTGATACTGCTTCGGCAACCCAAGGAGGGGTCGCTATGAGTCGGGTCCAACTCGATGGCTCATAACAACAACAGAGCCAGAACAGACCTTGAAGAGCAAGGAATTTGCTTTTCAGAAAGAGAAGTTAAGGCTCAGAGCAGGGAAATGGCTTGCCCAGTGTTACACAGCTCAGCTGAGTGATGAACTTGGACTCAGAGCTGTGGAGCCCTCAGATCAGTAGCCTGGTCCTCCCCCCACCTTCCCCTTAAGGAAAATGTGTTCCAGGGGTGAGTGTGGTACCGCCACCCACTTCATCACAGCTTTGAAGCATCTCTCCATCCCATCTTTTAACTCGGTAGCTCTGACAGTATTGTAAGTGCCTGCCTGACTTTCAGGATTTTAGTATCACAGATTAGTTTGGCTTTAGAGATTTTATTAACCATGAGTACTGTCAGAGAATCTACGGCATTTGTTAATTTGGGGGGATTTGTAATGCGGAATTATTTTTAAAGATTTGATTTTGTGCATGCATATAAAAACATCCCCTCCGGTGGCGTAGTGTGCTTAAGGCGTTTCACTGCTAACCGAAAGGCTGGCTGTGCAAACCCACCAGCCACTCCTCAGAAAGAAGACTGGGCATTCTACTTCCGTAGAGATACCGCCTCGGAAACCAAAGGAGGGGTCGCTATGAGTCGAAACCGACTCAATGGCAGTGAGTTTGGCTTAGGGTTTTTGTTTCTCTGAACCAGCCATCATGCCTCAGAGAATGCTGTTTTAACGCCAAACCCTCGTGTGCCTCCTGGTCACTTTTTGGCTGGCTTTTCTTCCTCTCTGCTTTGCACTGTTGCAAGCCCTCGCAGTGCTATGACCCCGGGGGAACTCAGTCTGAAATCCTGTGGCAAAACGCCCCAGGTCCTAGCGGCTCCCAGGACACCACAGCGATCGGATTTCGCGTGGCCGCCCAGCTGCCCTAACTCCTTTCCCCTCCCACCCGGGAACCTCCGAAGCCAATCAGAGCATGGCGAAGCTCCTGGTTGTAGAGTCCGGATATCTGGGACCCGCCCCTCTTTGTTGCAGTGGCCAATGGACGCATTCAGAACATCAGCGGCTGCCCCGGTGACTCGGTTATATGTCACAGAATAACATTCGAGGATGGAAAATGGAATGAGGGGACGGCCACAGCAGGAGCAGGAACAGCAACAGCAGCAGGGGCTGCAGCAGCAGCAGAAGCAGCAACCACCGCCGAATACGCCGCCGGGACAGGCTCTGCAGCAATGAAGCCTACGGGCGGGAGGTAGCGTCTGGGGAGCTGCGGCGTGTCCTCCTGCACTCCGCCTGCAGCTAGTCCCTCCGGGTGCCTGGGGCTGGAACTCCCGGACATGGGGCGGGCGGAGGCATTTCCACTGCAGACCGGGGTAAGGGCCCCCTCCTTGCCCACCGTCCGGCAGGGATTCCGGAGGCAACACCTCCGCCTTTGCAAGTAGAGGCTGCTGCTGCGCCCTCGCGCCAGTCCCGGGCTCTCACGTGCCGGCACGTTCTTGGCGCTGCTCCGGGTCCAGCCACATCTGGGAACCAAGGAGCCTTGAGAGGACCTCCTGTTCATTCACACTACACGAGTTGCCTTTATTCTCCCTACACAGTCCACTCGACACCCCCACGCTCCTTTTATTTATTTATTTTTTTCCCGGTGTTTAGGTGTGTGTGAAGCTTTGTGGCAATTTCCAAGCTAGCTTTCTAAGGTAATTTCTTAAAAGTAATTTAAGCTTTCTAAGCTGGGAGGTCGATTCAATGCCTTGGGGGGCGGGGGAATCTGTCAGCGTGCAGAGGGGAGCGGTAGGGGGGTGACGCGGAGACACCCCGCGGCCCCCCACTGCTATCGGACACAGCCTCGATTCCTCTAGGTTTCCACTTAGCTGGGTGTCTGCTATGTCTCCACTGATTTCAGGCCCGGCCGGTGAACCGCGAGCCCAGCAGCCTCCGCGGCCCCTTCCAGTGTCCTGCGGCAGCAAGAGGCATGGAGAACACCGCCCCCGCGGGGCTCTGATCCCCGCACCGCGCCCGCGCGCACAAGCCCCCTCCCCCTGCTGTCTCCTCTGCCGCGCACCCTGCGCCCCGCCCTCCCCGCCCCAGCCCCACCATGACCGGCTCTGCAGCCGACACTCACCACTGCCCCCACCCCAAAGGCGCCAAAGGCACCCGGTCCCGGAGCAGCCACGCGCGGCCAGTGAGCCTTGCCACAAGCGGGGGCTCGGAAGAGGAGGACAAAGACGGCGGGGTGCTGTTTCATGTTAACAAGAGCGGCTTCCCCATCGACAGCCACACCTGGGAGCGCATGTGGATGCACGTGGCCAAAGTGCACCCCAAGGGGGGAGAAATGGTGGGTGCCATCAGGAACGCTGCCTTCTTGGCAAAGGTCAGTGGCTTTGAGGGGGCGGGGCGGCGGGCAGTGGTGGGACCATTTCAGCTTGCTCATAACAAATAGAAGCAATTTCCATTTTCCTGGTGCTGCTACAACCGCCAGCTACTCCCCCCCCACACACACACACCCACCTTCCTGCTTAATTGAGATGTATTTTTCTTGGAAGCCTTAGGAATGGGGTAGGAAAACACCGGGGGGCTTGTTGTACTGGTACTGTGGTGTTGATTGTGCCTAGGTTGGTTTTTGTGTTTTTTTGTTTGAGCCTAGAGCCAAATTCTTATTTACTCAGCCCTACCTACCTCTTCTGCAAAAGCTGTTTGTAGCCCCACTTAACACCACTGATGCCAAGAATGCAAAAGACCCCCAGGGATCCATACCCTGCTTTTTGTCTTTGGAGTTTCTTAGTCCTCCCTTCTGCCCCCACTTGCAAATGATTTATCTAACTGTGAATGAATTTGAAATTACCCAGTTAGACTTCTCAGTGTGAATCATTTCCAGACTTTGTGCTCTTTTTTTTTTAATGACGGTGACTTTCACCTCTGAAATTTGCAAAAATGGTGAACTGTCTCTTCCCAGCTTATCAGGGCTTAAAGAGAGAGAGTTTTGGCTATGGTTTGAAAGGGGCTTTCCAGTACACATGATGAATTATTCTCACTGGATAGAAGCTAAAGGAGTGGCACTTATTTCCTTGGGCAGAAGCCAATGAGCTATGTCACATAGCCAGGATATCACCAGTAATGGTGCAGATCTTGGGAGGAAAGAGGTGTGCTGATGGGAATAGCTGGCTTGTGTGAAACATTTGAATGCACTCTGGAGAGAAATGCTGCAGAGCCTGGGAGTGACAGCACGGTGAAAGGTTTCCCCTGGACCAGCGGATACTGGGATGGCTAAGAACATTCCTACGCAGGTCTAGGAATGCCAGACCTGAGACCTGGAAGGCCTTCTGGCCGTCTGGTCAGTTCTCCCGCTGAGCATGGGAGCCTACAGGCAAGAAAGCTGAGCATGCCATTGGAGAAGAGGTGGAACCATTAAACTTCCCATTGCAGTCAGTTTATCACTCTGCTGGCTGGTCGAGGAGATTTTCATTATGCTCAGCTAGACTCTTGCCCGCTGAGTTCTTGATCATTAGGAAGACAATTGGTCCCGGCTTGCAATTCTGACTTCGTAATCTTTCTGTCCTTAAATGAGAAGCACTTGCCCACCCCACCCCATTCCTGTGCTGCCTCTCTGACTCAGCACCCCAGCACCCTCAGCACTGACCTTGACTCTTAATTGTGGCTTCGACTTTCTCCCTACTTTCTGTGTGGGGCATTCCTTTGCTTGCTATGTGAGAAACAGAATTTTAGAGGGGGATAGCCTCCCACCTTTAGCAAACTTCCTTCCTCTGTTTGATCACATCTTGGGAATGGGGCCAAGTGCCTCACAGGGCAGTCCATCCCAGGGCTGGACAGATTTGGTTGTTTTGAAGCTCTTTTAGATTTAATAGAAATCTTCCTTCTTTCCCCCATCTTCCCAATCCCGTCTCCTCACTGAGTCTTGTGCTACCCTTTGGATCTAGAACACTCTGGCTTCCTTGGCTACTCACAGTTCTCTTGAATGTTCTGAGACAGTGCTTTTATGGCAGAAGGGACTTGGAATAAAAATCAAGAGGATGAAGTCTAACTCTGTGACCTACGTCACACTTGAAATCTTTGGCCTCAGTTTGTTTATGTATAAAATGAGAGTAGACTAGAATGTATGTATAGTTCTTCCTCACTTTCAAATCCCATGGTTTGGTGACCCTTGATGTCTTCAGGTCTCTAATGCTGGCTGTATGCCACTAGAGGTTGGTGAGAGATGAGCCCTCAGCACATCTTTCTATGGTTTTCTTTGTTTATAGGCAACTCTTTTTTCCTTTTTTTAAGTGTGTAATTTCCAGACCTCTTTACTCTCATGTGATCTTTCCAGGACAGTTGCTAGTTTGTAACAAGTTCTATAAAGCAAGCACTACAAAACACAATGTTCTAAATATGTGAGGGTTTCTAACACAGATTTCTACTTCCTGTGACCTGTACCTGATACTTCGGTTATTGTTGCTGAATGCAGTGGTCCTAAAAAAGATTGTTAACTTTTTTAATATAGCCACATCATATTGTACGTCTATAATGTGCTGCAGGTCACTTAAAGCATCTGGATCCTTTTTGTATGAGAATTACTGCCAAGCCAGGACTCCCTCTGCCTGAACTTGGGCAGTGGCATTTTGAACATAAATAAAGAACTTAAGCATTTCTCTCTTACACATTGTGTCTTAATGGTTGGTTCTCCAACCCCAACCCCACCATGGCATCCCCTGCCCCCAGACCCTGAGCTCTGGTTTCCAGGGATAACTCTGATTCATGGGCTGGCTATTCCTGCACTCAGCTTGGTAGGTTTCTTTCCTCTGGAGCCAAGTCCTTTCCTCCTCTAACCAAATGAGTGTCTTACTGAGGAATTTGTACAGAAGAGTAGGGACAGGGAACTGGAAAGGGTTAGAGAGCTCTAGGGAGATTAACCTTTTTTGGCCATTGAATGTGACCTAAGAAGCAAAAGGGAGGTGGACTGGGAAAGCTTCAAGGGCCTAAGAGGACCACTGAATGACACTTCCTTTGACTGCAGGAAATTCTGCCAGCAGCCATGGTGCACCCTGAATTGAGCATACCTTCTGTGGCGATCTTCCTTCTACATTTGTGAGTGCAGGTCCCTCACCTGGGGGCTACTGGGTCCAGCATTAGCACTTAGCTAGGGCAACAATGGTGCCTTTCAGGGATAGTTTAAGAAACAGCAGGAGTTAGTGGAGGATAATAGAGAATGGGAAGAGGGGGCAGAGAGAGTGGCTGGGGGGGACCGGAGGGGGGATAGTGCCCTCCCCCAAGACATGTGCTTGGAAACAGCTCCTCCTATTTCTAGGATGTCTGGAGCCTTCCTCTCCTAAAAAAATCCCACTGCCATCCAGTTGAGTTGATTGCAACCCATAGCGACCCTTTAGGACAGAGCAGAACGGCAAGAATGGAGTGGAAGAGGCTTTCTAAGGCTGTAAATCCTTACAGCACTATTTTACAGAAGTAGACTGCCTCATTTTTCTCCCATGGAGCAGCTGGTGGGTTCCAAGCGCTGACCTTTAGGTTAGCAGTCAAACGCTTTAACCACTGCGCCACATAGAGGCAGAAAACTGGAATGGACTCAGCAAGACACATCAATTGATTTCTTGTAGCTCCCATAGTTTTATGCCTTATTCTCACACTGATTTCAAATTGGGAAATAATTCCCAGTTAGAAGACTGAGATTTTGCCGAGTGAAAAAGTGTGTGCCCACAAGTTGTGGAGTGAGATTTTGTTCCAGTCAGGAGTGTACTCCTGCCCCCTGCTGGCTCAAATGAGCAACTCACTCCCTCCTCGTCCCTGGATTGGCAACCAACCATCTGTCCATCTTGCTCAGCCTCAGGTTGCAACTTTAGGACCTCTGTGCTAGGTCACCATGAACAAATTCCTGGATGCCTGTGATGGGAGGGGTGGAGGCCTCAGCCTCTGTCTGGTTGCTGTGCTGAGCCTCCCTCCACCCAGCAGGTTGCCATAGAGGATTATTCTTCTGCCTGGTGCCTTCATAACATATTTTTCAGAGCAGAGATGGACCAAAGGCTTTGTTTTCTCCTTGTTCTTTCATGTGAAAGATTCCTGGGGCCTTCAAGGCTCTCACCACACTCTCTGGCTGCTTTCCTGCTTTCCTCCCTCTCTGTCACATAATGATGCCAGTCACACACCTATGTCCATCTGTGCCACTTCTTGCATTTCTCTGAGTGGTCAGTCGTGTTTGGCAAGAATGGAGTGGAAGAGAACCTGGCTAAAAAAGTCTTGCCTGTGGGATCCGACTCGATGGCAGTGAGTTTGGAGTTTTTGGTTGGTGGATTGCTTCATTATTTTTCTTGAACATTCATCTTCCTTCCTACACCGCTCCCTCCTCCTGCCCCCTATGCCTCCGAGGGCTCCTACCTCCAGACCATGGGCACCAGGCCTATGTGGATAGGTTGGTTTTGATCAGTTCTCTCTAGATTCTGCCTTTTCAGCTGGGCTGGCGGCAGGAGGCTGGAGGTGGGAACCTTGAGGGAACTTGGAGTTTCAGGTTGTAATTGATGAAATGGGGCAGGAAAATGGCAATAGGAAGGATTCTCTTGAGTCTTGTGGGGGAGGGCAAAAAGGGTATCCCTAGGGCTTTGCATAAAAAGATTGGGCCAATTTGTGTTCCCAACTGCAGTCTGAAAGATCCTCACCAGCTTTGGGTACCCCCATTTCGGAATATCTTTGCTAATTGGACAGGTAAAAAATGACATTTATAGTAGCTTTCATTTGCATTTCCTAAATTACTAGTGAACCTGAGCATTTTTTCCTAAATTTTTATTCACCACTGCATTTCCTCTTTTGTGAATTGTTTTTCATGGTCATTTTCTCTCATGGTTGAGGTCTGAAGAGTTTCCTTTTAACTTCGTGTGAGCTTTTCTCCAGTTAAGGATATCAACTCACTGTCATCACATTTCCCCATAGGGAAGTGAATCTTTTCACCCTCTTTCACTAGGGCGAGAAGACCTCTTTAAGACATGAGGCTCCTGAGTTGAGTATCTGGAGAGTCAGACCACTGCTGATTGTTTTCCAGTTCCAGAAAAGTGTAAACCATTCAGGCTTCCCCATCCAGATCCTGGAGAATGTGTTGCTGGTGAATAACAGACAACTCACTTTAAAAAGCACTGTCTGCCAAATTCCAAGTTGACTACTTTACGAACATTAGGTCCTGTAATCCTTAACACCAGCTTAGAAGTCATGGAGCTTAACTAGGGTCCACAGTTAGTAGGTGGCAGAGTAGGGGTTTGAACCTAGTTGTTTCTATCTTCAGTTTATACACCAAGGAGCCTACCTGGTCTATAGCTCATTTTCCTGTGTGTGCATTGGCAGCCAGAGGCTCTGGTTAGAAACTGATGCTGAGTGTGAGCCCTAGCCAGCTATCCCAGACCTCAGGGTGAGTAGTAGCTGGGTGACATCATCCCTTCAGCAATCTGGGCTCTATCCCCCACCACAGCTCCACTCCTCAGCTGGGGTTTGGGGAATGCATACATCAGTAGTCCCAGTGGGAAGGGAATGTGGCCACAGTTTCTGTGCTCTGCTCACAGCTGGGGCTGAGGTAACCATGCAGCTGTTCTTAAAAGCCCTTGGGCGCCACAAGGCTGCTATTCTGAGGACCAGCTGCCACCTGACTCCCACCCCCACCACTCAGCTCTTGTGGGCCCTTTTGGGTTTGGGGGAAGTTGAAATAATTGGTGGTCGGACCCCACCAAATCACTCTAGCTACCCCCTAGGGATCTTTTAGGCAACTGGTAATTCTTGGCGGATATTTTTCCACACTTACCAAGCTTTTCTATTAAATAGGTGCAAACAGCACATTTCTGCGCAGAAGTATGCTCATGTCTTAGTAAACTATAGTTTCTCTTCTCTCCACCACTTTGTCTGTGCCCTCCCCTTTTTATAACTGGCACAGGGCTTGGAACACAGGAAAAGCTAGAGAATGTTTGCAGCTTCCCTTCTCTTCTCACTTCTCTCTGAAATTTCTAGCATACTCTCACACAGAATTCCAGGTGTGGGTAGATCAGAAGACATTGCTGCAAACGAACAAGGACAGACTTGACACTTCATAGTGTGTATGCAGGTGGAAACACAACAGTACACTTCGATATTTTGTATGTGAGGGTATGGGGGAAGGTCACGTGAACAAATTGGAACAAAACCATCTTACTTCCCAAAATGATGCTCCAAGTTGGGAATATAATTTATGTGAGGTGATATGTTGTAAACAAAGTGTAGCTTGCAGAACATTCCTGCATTCATGTTCACACACACCCTCTGTCTGTCTGTCTCTCTCTCTCTCTCTTTCTCTCTCTCTCTCTCTCTCTCTCTCACACACACACACACACACACACCTTGGCTTTGAAGTAGGAAGTGTGACTAGTTTCCTTTGGGTTGAAGGGGCAGTTGCTGTGGAGTAGGAAATTTCAAAGCTATGAGAGACGAATGGCATAGAAAAAGAATGCCAAGGAGCCTTTTAAGTAAATGCAGCAAAATGAAAAGAGCTGTTGCCCATGACTGATTCCAGGGGTGGCATACCCTCCTGTGTCACTGCGAACTTGAGCCTGGCAAGCCAGGAGAGAGCCACGGAAAGGGGACAGCCTCAGGCAACTTCTGGCTCTGATACCCAGTCAGGCCCCTGGGTCCCACCCCAGGGCTGTTCCTTAGTCTGCTCACCAGCAGCTTTTCCTTCCATCAACTAAGCTCTAAATCCCGAGGGTCTCCCTCTCCCTGTTTTCGCTGAGGATGGAACTAATCTGTCCAGCAGCCCCTTCAGCTCCTCCTAAGCAGCTTAAGCCTGAAGGAGCCTCCTTCCTCCTTTGCCCAGCAGCTGTACTTGCTAATGTCCCAGGCCCACAAGAGCTGAGCTGCTTCTTCACCAACAACTTCTATCCCCACCAGAGAAGCAGAGTTGGAGGAGAAACATCTAGCAGAAATAAAGCAGAAAACGTGCCTGGGTGGCACCCCTTGCTTCCCAGGAGTGACTTGGTTTGAAGTCCCTTGCTCTATTGGCCTCCTTTGCAAGATTGCTTAGGGATAAGTAGTTGTCTAAGTAAATTCCTGAGAAGAGGCAGTGATCTCTCCTTTTCCAGTCTTTGCTTGCCTTTGGTCCTCTCTCTTCCCAGCAGGGATCAGAGCTTCAATTGTAGACACTGGGGGTAAGGAGCTCTGGTGCACAGTAGTTAAGCACTCGACTGTTAGCCAAAAGGTTGATGGTTTGAACTCACCAGCAGCTCCATGGGAGAAAGATGTGGCAGTCTGCTCCCATGAAAATTACAGCCTTGGAAACCCTATGGGGCAATTCTACTCTGTCCTATGGGGTAGCTATGAGGTGAGCGTTAACCAAAGAGCACTGCCATGAGAGGTAAAAGGGTAGGATGGTTCACATGAGTCAGAGGAGCTGTGCTCATCTGGCAGGGGTCAAGGCCAAAGAAGAATCTTCTTAATCCCACTTGGGGCAGGTCTCAGGTGAAGGGATGCAATGGGTATCAGAGGGAAGGAAGAGTGTTAAAAAGAAATGGAGCCAGTAGTGCCATGTTGCCTTTCTCCAGGGCACTATTCATCTCAGGAATGTGCCCTGGAGTGCCCCATATATAATGAGTCACCATCACTCAGGGTTCTGAAATAGGTCCTCTTGGATCTACCTTTGGCTTCCAAGACGGCCAGGCTTGGTGGGGACACTATAGAACATGGTCTTGGACTTCAAAGATAGATTCCCAAAGGGAAAATAGGCTCTGCTCACGTTCCCAACACTTGGAAGGCCACAAAGAACCCATAAATCCCAAAGCAGAGTGTGTATAGAAGGAATTCATACAGGGGGATTTTCAGTGAGAGCCTGTGGAAGAACCCCTGCTTAAACAGGTGACTGTGTGTCATGGTGGCATCTGCTCCCAGCTCTCAGGAGATTTCAGCCTTTTGTCTGCCCCCAGAGCTAGGCACATAAGCACCTCATTAAAATACCCCTCCTTCTTTTTCTCTGCAGCCTTCAATACCCCAGGTTCCAAACTACAGGCTGTCGATGACGATCCCAGACTGGCTCCAGGCGATCCAGAATTACATGAAGACACTACAGTATCCTTCCAACCAGCATCTGAGCAGACCCAGGCAGGGGATCAGGGTGGTGATCTCCAGCCTGGAAGCATGTCTGTCTCCAGCTGGTCAGCAAATGCTCCCCAAGGTTGGTAAAGCCAGATTTGGAGGGACTTCCCTGTGAGAGAATCTGTTGTTGGGTGCTGTCAAGTCAGTTCCAACTCAGAGCAACCCTGTGTATTAACAGAATAAAACTGCCTCATAGAATTCTCTGGGCTCTAATCTCCTTCCATGGAGAAGGATATCATGTGTGGTTAAGTGGAGGGTTAACAAAAAAGGGGAAGACCCTCAACAAAATGGATTGACACAGTGGCTACAACAATGGCTCAGGTATAGCAAGGATCATGGAGTGGGCACAGGACCAGGCAGTGTTTCATTCTGTTGTATGTAGGTCGCTATGAGTTGGAGACGGCTCGACGGCACCTAACAACAACAATCTCTTCAGGAGCAGATCACCTGGTCTTTCCCCCATGGAGCTGCTGGGCGAGTTCACACCACCAACCTTTTGGTTAGCAGCCAAACATTTAATCATTAGGCCACAAGGCTCCAAGAGAGACTAGAAAGAGTGGTAACAGAGGGTGTAATTGCAGTTGTCTGACCCTTCTCCCTTCAAGTAGGGCTAGGACAAGGATGCTAAGGGGGCTGTGAGTCAGTGGTGGTGACCTCTAACCTGACCCAGTTCCAGCCCCTCTGCCTTCTCATTGTTCCTTCCTTTCCCTACCTTTTTCTTTTTCCTCCCTATTTTTTCATCTTCTCCTTTCTCTCTCCCTCCTTTCTCTCTGCCATCTGTTTTCTTCTTCCTCTTTCTCTCTTATGTCTTTCTTTCTCCCTCTTCCCTCCTATTCTCTTCCATCTCTCACTTTTTTTTTTTTAACTTTCTTCTCCAGCCATCTCAGATCTGTAAATAGGTCCTCTTGGGTCTACCTTTGGCTTCCAAGATGACAGAAGCTGATGGCCTCGCTCACTTCTGCATGAATGGATGGGGTTCTGTCTCCCCACTTGAATTTGAAGAAGAGCTGAGGAGCTAGGCTGGTTTCAAAGCAGCCAAGCTTTTGATCCCATTCATCTCTGTTGTCCGCGTATTGTTTACAGTCAGGATTAGATTCAGTTCTGACACCATCCCCAGAAACACTGAGAACACTACTGTAGAAACAGATGGTCCACTTGCCAGTTGTGATATTTTGTCAGGAATAGGACTCAGCTGGAGAACTCGGCCAACAGAGGTGTGTGAGAGGGACAGTCATTTGTCCCAAGCAAGTCAGTGAGCCCTGCAAAGCTACCAGGATCATACTCCCTGCTGAAGGCAACTGCCTTACCCCAAGCCCCCAGTGCATTGTCCAGGAGGTCGTCCTCTGCCGGGCTCTCTCCTTCCTCCATAAAGACACAAAACTTAGCCTATCCTCCGAGCCTCCAGGCACATTGGCTTGATCTCTGTTTGTTCAAAGCCAGCTGTGAGGCAAAAAGGATTTCAGGGGCCACAAGCCCTGAAATAGATCCTTCCTCTTTATGTCATAGGTAAGAATCTTTCCTGTGGATTTTGGAATCTTCCCTGAAGGGGTCAAATACCAGTGTCTCTTCCATAAGGCTGCATATTACCAGGCAGGAATAATGCCAATTGCTGCTTGTTCTGGTAGAGAGATTACTTGATTAGCTTCTCAGTTTTCATTTCTTGGATCATAAAACTTCCTTATACAGTATCTTCCTATTCCAGTGAAATCCTGAAAAGATCTTCTAGGGAAAAGGGAGCACCAGCCCACAGGGATGAGGCAGACAACCTTTGTCCTGGGAGGGATAGGTGGTGCTGGTACTTATCCCCAAATTGTAACCCCACCTGAAGAGTTCCATCTGGTCCAGAAGCACATATTCCTGCCAGAGTAAACATAGATCTCCATGGCTGACCCTTCCCGATTGTGACTAGCTCCTCACTGAATATTTCAGAAGGCAACAAAAATGACAATGGCTCCCCACTTCAATCTAGATCATGGTCTTTACAAGGACTATCTGGCCGGAGATTGAAGAGAATGAGTCTGACCAGGAATGCATTTGTAAGTGTGTCTTTTAGTTATCTAGTGTTGCTATAATAGAAATAACACAAATGGGTGGATTTAACAAACAGTTTATTTTCTCAAAGTTTTAGGAGGCTAGAAGTCTGAATTCAGGATGCTGGCTTTAGAGGAAGACTTTCTTTCTGTTGGCTCCGGAGAAAGGTCCTTGTCTCTTTGAGCTTCTCCTTCTGTGTGATCTTCATGTGGCTTGTCATCTCTCTTCTCCCATCTCTGCTTCTAGCTTGCTTGTTTAGTTTCTTTTGTAGCTCTAAAGAGATTGACTCAAAATATACCCTACATTAATCCTGGCTTATTAACATAACAATAATAACTCTTTTCCAGATGGGATTATAACCACAGGCATAGAAGTTAGGATTTATGACACAGTTTTGGGAGACACAGTTCAATCCAAAACATTCTGCCCATTGGCCCCCCCAAAATTCATGTTCTTGCCACATGTAAAACACATTCACTCCATGACATTGTCCCAAAAGTCTTGAATCAACTCTAAGTCCAAAATCTCGTTTTCTGAATCATCTAAATTAAATATGGGTGAGACTTTAGGTGTATTCCATCCTGGGACAAAATTCCTCCTCATCTGTGAACCTGTGAAATCTAGACTACGCTTTATCTGTTTCCAAATTAGAATGGTAGAACAGGTACAAGGTAGACATTTCCATTACAAATGGGAGAAATGGGAGGAAAAGAAGGGATAACAAGCACCAAGCAAGTCCAAAACCCAACAGAACATATTACATTAAGTCTCAAGCCTTGAAAATAATTGTCTGTTCTTTGGGACCATGTAAGCAATGGCATTACTCTCAGACTGGGGGTGGGTCATGCTCTCTGGATTCTAGATGGAGGATCCTTGACCCTGGGTTTCAGCCCCACTTTCCAAGCCCACTGAAATGGCAGTTCTGGGTGTCCCTATTCTCCATCTGAGTGGTAACTCTTTCTCCTTTGTGCTGGCAGACCCCATTCTTCTGCTCCTCAGGCATGGCAGCCCCATCCCCTCAGGTTTGCGTGGCAGCCCCTTCCACCAGAACACCTTAACAGTAGCCCCACACTGATCAGAAGAGATCTAACTCTTTGACATTTAGGAACCTATGGCCCTACCCTTTGAGATCCAGGAGATGTTGGCCCCACCCTTGGAAAGTCCTGAGAAAGCCCTGCTTTCAATGCTCCTTCCAACAGTTCTGCTCATTTCTGAGCTGCTCCAGGGATGGTCCATTTCTTTTCTTGGAGGAAACAGATGTATCTCCTTTGACCTGTTCCCTGCTATAGAATTCCAAGAGGCAGTTTTCTTTCATTTCATTGTGTCTCAGTCCCTTCGGTCTAAGCTGATGGGTGTTCTGTCTTTAACAAAAGATTGTAGAGCCACATTTTTGCTGAAAATTCTAGGACATGTGTCCTTACTTTGCACAACAGAATTTTCCAAATCTTTAAGTTCTGTTTTTGTTTTACACAGTACATTTTTAAGTCCATCTCTTTCATCTTGCGTTTTACTATAAGCAGCGAGAAACCACACAGCCCCTTTAAGATCTTGCTTAGAAATCTCATAAGCCAGATGTCCAAGTTCATCACTTAACCTTCCATCAAACATTTGAACATAATTCAGACAAGTTCTTTGTCACTGCATAAAAAGAATCACCCTTTCTCAATTGTCCAATCACATGGTCATTATTTTCTTTTAAAGCCTCCCCAGAAGCATGTTTAACGTCCACATTTGTAGCAACATTCTGTTGCTTGTGCCCTATGTATTCTCTAAGATGATAGAGACTTTCTCTATATCTCTTTTCACCTCCTGTGAGCTCTCACCAGAATTGCCTTTGACATCTTTGATTTTGCCAACAGTATCTTCAAGACAATCTAGGGTTTCATTATTAGGCATCTTACAACTCTTTCAGGCTCCACCTATTACCCAATTCCAAAACTGCTTCCATATTTTAGGTATCTATTAGAGCAGCACCCCACACTTCCTGTACCAAATTCTGTCTTAGTTATTTAGTGTTGCTATAATAGAACTAGAAATCAGTGGCTTTAAAAACAGAAGTTTATTTTCTCAGTTTAGGAGACTAGAAGAACTCAGGGTGCTGCCTCTAAGGGAAGACTTTTTCTCTGTCACCTTTGGAGGAAGGCCCTGTCTCTTGAGCTTTTGCTTCTGAGTGATCTACATGTGGCTTGGCATCTCTGTTCCCCCATCTCTGCTCCTAGCTTGCTTGTTTAATCTCTTTTATATTTCAGAATAGATTGTCTCAAAATACAGCCTGTACTAATCCTGCTTAATTAACATAACAAGAATAACTCATTCCCAAATGGGATTATAAGCACAAGCATAGAAGTTAGAATTTATAAAATATATTGTGGCACACAATTCAGTTCATAACAAGGGGCAAATTTGCATGTGCTTTACATAACATTTAAGGAGCTCTGGTGGCATAGTGCCTAAGGCATTTGACTGCTAACCAGAAGGTTGGCAGTTCAATTCTGCCAGACACTCTGTAGAAGGAACACTGGGAAATCTACATCTGTAAAGATTTACTACCTCAGAAACCCAAATGGGGTTGCTATGAGTTGGAATCGACTTGATGGCAGTGAGTTTGGTTAAGGCATTTGACTGCTAACCAGAAGGCTGGCAGTTCAAACCCACCAGCCACTCCTCAGAAGGAAGGTTGGGCAATCTACTACCATAGGCATACTGCCTCAGAAACCCAAGGAGGGGTTGCTATGAGTCGAATTGACTCAACAGCAGTGAGTGGTTTGGTTTGGTTTATGTAACATTTGCTTGTACTGCCATAGATCCTACAGCACATTCTCACCACAGGTCTCATGAGTTTTCTGAAGGGTCTGCTTTTTTATTTTCTCTTCTCTGATTTATTATGATGATCATTTATCTATATCATTGACTGCAGAAAGGGCAGAAGAAAAGAAAGCACT